AATTTTAGACCACTTTCCGCCGCTCACCGCCAGGTTCGCTAGTATTTTCGATTTGAATTAATTCAAGTTGGTTTTGTGTGCAATGATCTGGCAACTCGCGTTGACGGGGTGCTGTTTTCTCACTCATCGGAGGAAATTTTGATTAGAGTGAAAAAGTAAGAAACAGTCAGCGCGGGAACCGTGTGCATTGCTATAGGTACGGCAGAAGGAATATAGTCGACTCTTTCGTTCTCACGGTGTTCCTACGCATGATCCAACGTTACGTCACACTGGATTATGCATAAGAACGTCGTGATAATGAAAGAGCAAAGTTTGTATGTTTGGGAGCCTCTCGCATTCAACCCCCATTCCCACAACATCCATTTGAAACGGGCCAGATGAAGTGGGCTTGTGTAATTGAATCAGTGATTGCTAAACATTGCATTAGGTCCTAAGTAACATTGACAGATTCTCTTCGTCGACTTTTTCTTTGTATGCTCACGGCTAATTAAAGACATTCCCAGGTTTTTTCTGCTCACAGATCTATAAAAGAAGTTTTTATCTAGTATCTAATACGACAAATTCAACAAAAAACAGTTATGCGCTCAAGTTATTAACGAAAAAGAAAGTCTACGAAGAGAGTCGATCAATGTTACTTAGGACCTAATGCAATGTTCAGCTTGATTTTCTTGCATCATAACCGGCAGCAGCAACATCGGCAACATCAGAGTGGTAATGGCGAACATGGGTGCCAATTGTCGGTCCAAATCAGGTTTCTTCCCGTCATCGTGGTCCTTCCCGCTCTGGGAGAGAACGAGCCGTGCGACAGAAACGAATGGGCTAGCTTTAGGCTCTAACGACCGACCGGTATCGACACGGAATCGGTAGCTTCCTGTTTCGATGTATCGCTCGTTTGGAATGTTTGCGATTCATTCCTGGTTTCCTTTTTTTTAATCTTTATTAAAGAGATTTTTAGCCTTAGGCTAGTTCATCTCTAGGTCCTGGTTCCCGGATCCTTGAGTTCGATAGTTCAAAAGCATTATGGTTAAGTTAATTTTAATCGTCTAACAAACAACTATGTAGAGGAGGACGAGGTCGGTTCTTTCCTTCATCTTCGATAACGATTTTGGTATTAATTACTTCGGCAACACGGTCATTAAAGGGACACGTCTTTCCATGTCGGTTGCGGTTGCCGCAGTGTAGTTGGAACGGAACATTAACTTTATTTGTAGGAGTGGTCTTTTGCCCCTATTGATGACGATGCTCGGCTTGGGTGCGTATGTGGCTTGGGTGGAACATTAGCATTGACCTATCGACATGGATTGGGAGGTGTTCGTAGCTTGCTACTGGTAGATTACGACACTGCGATACGTTGATGGTCATCAAGCCAAAATAAATACACCGCTAACTTTCAACTGCAACATAAAAACAACAAAACGGAGGAAGCTCCCTTCCACAATTAATAATTATTATCATCAAGCTCTCCGCAGGAACTCTTTCGGGGATAAAAGGGCGTAAACCGCAAAAACTGGGGTAGTAATTTTGACCCAGTGCCAAGAACTATCTACTCGAGGAAAAGCCGACAAAACATAAAGGCCCTTATTACGGGTGTCACTTCACGGTGAAAACGAAGTGAAGGGACCAGTTGTCACTCACGGTGAAGTGATTGCCGTGTAAATCAAATGGGAATCACTTAACCGTGAGTGATAAGTTGTCACTACACCGTGAAGTGACATCGGTAATAAGGGCCAAAGTTCGCTGTTGAGAAACATCAATTGTAGCACCACTTGCGGAACCTCTTTGATTTTGGATGTAAATTTTGGCTTCTGTTGCTGAATAACTGTTGCTCTCCCAGTCCCATGTCTTCTCGGTCTCAGATGATTGCACGGAAAGTATAATCTACCATATTGGGGGTTTAAAGTAAACGCAATGCACCTATATGTTTTTCCAGACTACATTGTGAATTCGCTACGAGCACAAGTGCATTCAAAAATACTATGCACTAAAAAAACGCATTACGTAGTATTTTTAACCGTACATGCTATTTTACGATGACTTTTTCCCTAGATTCTACTATGGAATAATTGTGGTTTTTACTATGTTCTGTGATGTTTCACTATGGCATAGTATTTTGTGTTTTGTTTTTCAATGTTGCTATTTTTTACTTACAATTTTACCAAAATGAAAGCCACTTTAATAGATGCAGTAAAATATTCAACAAATACAAATCAGTAAAAAACATTCATGCGATTCCAACTTTGATGATAGATGACGTAATCCTCTATAAGCACTGAGCGTGGTATCGATGATAGTTGGTGTCAGCACCCGCCTCAGCAAGCATCGATTCTGCAAATGGCCTGTTCTCTCGGACTGTGCTCATCGTACGCGCCTTCCTTGTGACCAACACCGTGCAGATATTAAAACTTGCGCTCATACGCTCTCATACTGCAGTGGATTTATCTAATCCATCTACAAAAAAATGTAAAAAATTAACATCATCATCAGTTGCTTCTTCCCCAGCGAACGAAAAATAGTTTTCATTGCCATTCGCGCAACTGTCAGCTCCTGTACCATTGCGAAAACTTTCATACGTCAAGGTATGGCACCAGGAAACAGTTGCCAGAATCTTCCAGCCGTACGTACATTCAGTAGATAAGAAACTTACCCTTTGTCGTGGAACTGATCCAAACTTCAGCATCGGCGTTGATCAATTTCAGCAGACTGTTCCTTTTGTTTTTCATGAAAAAAAATAGCTATTTTTGCTGTGCAGTTCCGGGGAAAACTCATTGAAGGAAGCATGCAATATTCGTCCATCGAGGGTATTATTATGCGTCGATTTAGCGATGCTGATGCTGAGCCGAAACATCCAGTCTCTTTCTGCAGTTGCCTTCATGAGAAGCTGAAAATATGTGGGAGAAAACTGATCTAATGTTTAATTTAACTTTGATTACTCCAATCTTATTGCTTACCTTTCAAAGCACGTAGAAATAATCACCGAAATTGAAAAAAAAAATCGGCAAACGGACTCCGTTGTAAAAATTGTAACTGGCAGACGGTTCGCGATGGTGGAGCACTTTGTTTTGATTTTTTTTTATGACTGCTGTCAAAAATTGCTACATAGTATTTTCAAACAAAACATATTTTCAGCAAAAACTGTCGGTCATTGGCAGCTCAACATCGTTTACATGTAAGCAAATGTTAACTCGATGTGTTTACCCCCAATCATTTTGATCTATAGTCTTTCATTATACAAAAGAAGTGCAGATAACAAAGAAGACGACATAATGATATGCTGTTTGACAACAGGCTCTCCTTTCAAATTTCTTTAGAGAAAAAGAGATAACAGGCGGTACCCCAGTGGCATGAAGTACTTTAAGCTAGTACATATGAGTAGGTAGTGTTGCCGTGAGGTACACTCGAAAATTTAAAATGTAAGTGCGTCAAATCAAATTGCAAGCCGCTCCGTCTGTCACTTCGTTTGTGGTAAAAGTAACTGTTTTGGCTATACTTCAAGATTAAGTTAAAAGTACTCATCAATGAGAACAGAAATGAATCCAAAACAGTACTGTTGGAGAAGTACTTATTTTTAAGTACTTTCTATCTCAATTTTGAGTTGTTTCGTTTCTCCGTGTACACTCAAAAAATATTGAAATCTAAATAGTATAAAAGTTATACGCTAAATCGCAACTCTCCGTACCGACGCAAAGGTCGGTATAAAGGGAGAGAATGCAAACTTAGTATAAAAATGGTTTATGCGTCCCATAGTATAAAATCGAAATATACTTTCGATGCATAGATGCGGTTTATTCGAGAGAACGTATTTTTCGCTTCTTTATTTTATTTATGGAAAATATTATTGTTTTCAAATAAAAATAAAAATTGTCTCATGAAGCTTTTTTAATTAGTTTATTTTTTTGAATATTATATAAAAAAAATACTTACAATTTCAATGCTGCCCAGCAGATCACAGTCGCAGTAGAAATTCGCCGGGACAAAGCTCTTCACCAGATGGTCTTTTTCCTGTCATTTTTTTAGATCGAATTCCACTTCGTTATTCGGACTTAGTATAGTTTTGACGAAAATTTTAAGCGAAACAATGTATACAATTTGAAAAACCATAAAATGCATAAAATTTAATCTATATCCGTTTTGTAATATTTTTGAGTGTAGGGTGGGACGTGCTGGTCAAATCAGCCTACACTCAAAAATATTTATACTATTTAGATTTCTTTTTTTTTGAGTGTAGGTTTATCATAACGCATTGTATGTAAAGCCCTACAGTAAAAGTATGGACGACTGTCACCACAAAACTGAAAAAAACAGTGCTAACATTTGAAAACGGCACAAAAGCCATTTGTAAACAAATGGTTTGTGGGCCCTTTACTCACTACTTGAAGTACACCCACGCGACACAACAGCAACATCGGGTAGGGGAAATTTTCCCCTTCCTGACGATGCTGTTGGTTTGCGTGGGCGTTCTTCGGGTAGCGAGTAAAGGGCCCACAAACCATTTGTTTACAAATGGCTTTTGCGCCGTTTTCAAATGTTAGCACTGAAAAGCTGTTCCAATCGAGCAAAGCGGTGCATTTTGACGGTTTGATTGGAACAACTTTTGACAGACGTCCATACTTTTACTGTAGGGCTTTAATTGTATGCGGGATGTGCACAGAGAAAAAAAAATACCCTAAAATTAAGTTCTTTTTACTTAATTTTGGGTAATTTTGAGTTTTGCATCCCACTCTCACTTTTTGCTGTTGTCAAAAACGGAACGAGAGATTCGACTTTCTCATGACTATCGTTCAATAAGCTACTAGTGAGTATATAAGATATTCTCAAATTTGAGTCAATTGAACTTAATTTTGGGTAGAAAATACATACTAGTAAGTAATTATTTTTGCCGTAGCCAAATGCAAACTACTATAAGCGATTTACTGAAAATTAGCTTATTGAACGGAACATGGGAGATGAGTGAAAAGAACTTAATTTTGGGTAATTTTACGGTTCCGTGTGTGTTGTGTTTTGCTTTTTGCAATGTAAACAGTTAAAAATTACAAGAATAGTTGAAATTTTCAAATCTTATCGCTCATAGTTTCTGTATTTATTTTTCAAAGGTAATGCGTTTCAATGTTTTCCACCAAGCACTAATCCATGTAAGCGTAGCAGCGACAGTATAAAAACAATATGATGTACTACGATTCGAAATGTAAAATGTAATGTTCGTGATCGTAGTTGCATCGTGTGAGGTGGTGTGATTGTGACTGACCAGCTTTGCCTACCTTCCCGACTTATCTAGAATCTTTCAGATTTTTATGGACCATCCAGACAATTCCTTGTCCAGATTTGTCCATAATTTTGCAGAATGCTTAGTTTGCCTTGGTTTACCATAATTGAACATTTATCTATAATTAAACTTCTGATAAATTTCGAGTTACCATTTAAAATTACATAATATATATATTATATTAAACAGCTGGAAACTGAGAAAATATTGAACCCAGGCCTGCTGGGGTGAGAGGTAATCACGCTTACTACTACACCACCGGCGACGCTCTTTTACTATGTTGTTTTGAAATAAAAATCATTAAATTGCTTCACTTGACTGTAATAATGCAATGAGAAAATCGATGAAGAGAATCGATCATTTTTAAGTTAGTCCAACAATCACGAAATAAACATTGAATATAAATTCCAATTTAATATCAAAACTAAATACACAATTACACTGGATTACATTAAGAAATTGTGAATAATTTCTGGAACTCTCTAGCTCGATACCTCCCTAAGTCGATAGTCCCTTGAATATCTAGTTATGCAGAGTTGACTGTATGTAAAATTCAGTGAAAATACATTCACAAACTGTTTTTTGTTCTTTTTTGCAGATACCAACAAAAAATGGACAAATGTAATATCATTGATTTGTGTGATGTAAAATCAGAGAAATCCGTAGACACATCCACCACCATTCCCTTAGATGAAAATGCAAACACAACATCGAACATGTTTGAAGACGAAAGTTTTGCCAAACAAGATTTGACCGAACAGTGGATTCGCGAGCAGAATGCCACTATTCTTTCCTTTAATGACAATCTGAAGCATGAAGGTCAATCCATCAACATAAAAACATGCGGCAGTTCTAATCTAATGGATATTGCTGTTATGATTCCAACCGAAATAACTGAACTGGTGAACAAGGAATGTGCCATAAAGCTCATAAACTATTTGGTCATCTACGCAATTAATAAGGTTACCGAAGCTGACCTGCACAGGAAGCTTCTTTCAGTTACTCCGGATATCGACCCACAGATAAACTATCGTAGCAACATTGGATTCCAGTGCGTTTATGAGCGATGTGTAGTGTTGTTTTATGAGGCATTGCTGGATTTGACCGAGATATTGCAACAATTTGAATCATCGCTTCAGAATATTGTCGTTTTGTGGATGTACAACACGGTCGAAAACATTTGTAAGGCGCACGCCATCGACGGCACTTTCTTGCGCAATGACAAATACATCGAAGCCTTGCTGAGAGACTTCATGGCCAGTCAGAAGGATGTACCAGAGCAGGGAAACATCTTTTTCAATATTTACCAAAAATTGCAACCAACTATGGTTGCAGCGCCCTCCGTTCAAAACCAAGTGCCAACTGCCGCAGGAGCTTCAACGAAGAAACCCAGGAAACCACGCACTAAAAAGCTTGGGAAGATCACTGTGACAAGTACTTAGAGTTACCTGCCAGCATTATTGCCAACGGCAATAGATTAAAGAAGTTGTCTTTTTCGAAAGACCACCCGCATTGAGCCCCAACAAGGGACATATAATAGTGCTCAACAACGAAATATGGGTAATCCAAATTCATACAAAGGAGGGAGAAAGAACTGATAATTTGTCTTACCATAATTTAGTTTGTTAATAATATTTGAAAATTATACTTAATTATGTTTAGTTCATTTTGAAATAAATCGTGAAGTTTGTCAGTTTCAATGTTGTTGCTAAAATTCCGAAACAAACCCACATGGCAGATACTCCACCCCTATTATGTGAGTCGTGTGAATCTTGTCACTGCTGAGGTGACAAGTTACGTCGTGTGACGTAAATCTCCGATTGATTTGCATGGAAGGTCAGGTCACACCGCCGTGAATTTTGTAATCTCTCTAATGACAGACACACGACACGGCTCGCAGAACTTTGGTTTTGATTAGAGCGGACAACCAAACATAAATGATTTTGTAAAAAACAATCAGAATGTAAATCGAATACCTAATCTAATTCCCTTCTAAAAACTACATTAAATTTAAAGGATTAATTGCGGCACCGGTGATTTTTACTATAGTGGTAAACGTAATTACCTTTCATCCCAGCAGGCCTGCACGGAGATGAAAAACTACCAAAAATTAAGTACCTTTCCCTCAATTCCGGGTACAGTCCAATAACCCAATTTTGAGTAAATCGCATATATGTAGTAGTTTCCATTTAAAACCAGCAAAAAAAAAATACTTAAACGCTGTCCAGACTGGAGAGTTATAACATGTTATAGCGGTTGTTAAATAATTTCAACACAGAAACCACCATCAAGATAGAGCTATAACATGTTATAACTCTGTAGTCTGAACCAGGGCTCTACATTTTCGAAGCTCTAAAATGAACTCGAGTTTTCCCTGCGCTTTGGTCAGAGAGCGTATAGGGCATCGTTGTGCCAGATTGGTCGAGGCACATTTCGAGTATGAGAAGGTGGTTACAGTTTGCTCAAAAGTGCCTGAGCAAAATGCAAGTACTTTCAATGATTACCCGTAGTTGCAATACCCAAGCAGCAACTTTGACTTTGTAAAAGTTGTTTACACCAGTATTTAAACTTAAAGAAGGTTTTGAAACTTTCATAAGGTGCACAATGCTGTTTGGGTAGTGAAGGTATACTTTTGAACTAGAATAGGAAACAGTCAAAACATTGAGAAACATAACGCATAATTTTTTTAAAAAATGCCTGAATTTGCAACCGATGAACCATTCTGATGGCCTATGGGTACCCAAGTAACCATATAGTCGCAATAAAGCTTTGTATATACTCACTTTGCGATAATATGGTTAGTTGGGGAATCCGATGAAAATAATCACTTCTTGAAACTAATCCCGGTTGTATGTATTTCTTTCTTTCTTTCTTTTGCAATTTGCATATAACACCGACGGAGTGCACATTCCAAGTGCTGGGTGACCTAAAGATGACCAGTGACATGGAACGCGAATGTCCTCCCAGAAAAGCAGGGGAATACAATCCCCCCTATTCTGCGAGTCACGTGACTCTCTGTCACCGGTGAGGTGACAATAGTCACCTCGTGTGAGGTGACTCTCCATTTGATTTGCACGGAGAGTCACCTCACACGAGGTGACAATTGTCACCTCACCGGTGACAGAGAGTCACGTGACTCGCAGAATTAGGGGGAATAAAATTTGTTTTCGTTGAAGGATGTATCACAACAAAGGTAATTTAGATGCATAAAACAAATTTACAAACAACGTAGCACAAGAAACAAGGAAACGGGAAAGGAGACGTGAACATCAAGGTACGATGGAGACTCACTCATCACATTGGAACAACCAGATAAGTGCACTTGATTTTTATTTTATTCTACACATATATCCTAATCATTTTATAACTAAATACGTGCCAGAATAAAAAGTTTTTTTTTTTCTGGAAGTGAGAATACACTTGTGTATTTTTGCGGGGCCTATTGTATCAGAAAATGACCTCAGAATGTACGTGCAGAAACAGGCATTCTTGAAATGGGTCGTTTGATGTACGATAGAGCTGTCACCTTCCATCTCCAGGGCTAAACATATTTGCACATTCGACATACAGAAACGCAGATAAGTTTCTTCCATAAAAACTCTGCCGGTACAGAGGGCGATGGATTATACTCACACACACGCACACACACACACACACACACACACACACACACACACACACACACACACACACACACACACACACACACACACACACACACACACACACACACACACACACACACACACACACACACACACACACACACACACACACACACACACACACACACACACACACACACACACACACACACACACACACACACACACACACAGACACACACACGCACACACTTGAGGTCCAGCCTGGATTGAAGCGCTGAAAACGAAGCAGAACCAAAGGAAATTGAGCAGTACGTTCCGGCTCATGGCCATGCGAGTCGTGAGTGCGTACAGAACCATTTCGATGGAGGCAGTATGCGTTATCGCCGGTATGATCCCAATCGGCATCACCTTGGCGGAGGACTACGAGTGCTATATGACGAGAGAAACCAGAGGAGTACGAAAAATGGTGAGAACGGAGTCGATGGCTAAGTGGCAGCAGGAGTGGGATGCAGCAGAGAACGGTAGATGGACACACAGGCTAATACCGACTCTTTCGACCTGGGTGAACAGGAAGCATGGAGAAGTCAACTTCCACTTGACGCAGTTCCTGTCTGGTCATGGCTGCTTCAGGAAGTACCTGCATCGGTTCGGACACACAACGTCACCCTTCTGTCCGGAGTGTGGGAATGTGGAAGAATCACCAGAGCACGTGGTCTTCGAATGTCCTAGATTTGATGATGTGCGAGAGGATATGCTCGCCCTTAGCACGGAGAATGTCGTCGAAGAAATGTGTCGAGAGGAGGGCACCTTTAACGCCGTCAGCAGAGCAGTAACGCAGATCATGTCAGCGCTGCAGCGAAAATGGCGGGAAGACCAACTAGAAAGTAGTAATGTGCTCACACAAGTGCGAACTGAAAGCCGAAGCCGGGAGAACTCTCCGTCAGAGTAGGCTGTATCCACCACCAGGGATAACCGAGTAGAACGTGACGCTGGGAGATAAATGGCTCACAAATTGGAGAGACGATCAGCGAACTGGAAGCGCCAATTAGCTGAGGTAAAGTGAGGTACGTAATGCACGGCCCCCTCCGAAGTAATACGACAAGTGGTTCCGGGGGAAAAGGGCAAGGCGTCTAAGGAGGTTTTAGTGCGGTAAGAATCCCACACACCGTGTCACCGCGACTGTGCGCCCAGTCGTCAAGCGGTGGCACGATGGCCTTTTTGAAGGTTTCCTCCTTGCCAAAAAAAAAAAAAAAAAAAAAAAAAAAAAAAAAAAAAAAAAAAAAAAAAAAAACACACACGCACACACACACACACACTAAAATGAACTCGAGTTTTGTTTTTCTCATACACATGTGTTCAACGCTTCATTTCTGTAACGCCTAGCTAGACTATCAGCAAGAAATGATAATGAAAAAGAAACACGCTTTAAACGCTGTCCAGACTGGAGAGTTATAACATGTTATAACGGTTGTCAACTAATTGCAACACATAAACCACCATCAAGATAGCGCTATAACATGTTATAACTCTGTAATCTGAACAAGGCATTACGTGCAGACTACATAGTTATAACATGTTATAGCGCTATCTTGATGGTGGTTTCTGTGTTTCAATTATTTGACAACCGTTATAACATGTTAGGCGCTATTCATAAACTATGTAGACAGTTTAGGGGGGGGTTTGACAATTATCCACGACCCATACAAATTTAAAAAAAAATTGTATTGACAATTGTCTACGCAGGGGGAGGAGGGAGGGTCAATAATCCCAAAAAACTGTCTACGTAGTTAATGAACAGCCCCTTATAACTCTGCAGTCTGGACAGCGTTTTAGAAGGAAACGCTGGCTGCCCGCATAAACGCGAACCATCACATGACCTTACCGATAATGGTTATAAATTGTTTATAATCCCTGCTAAACTTCAACTGAAATGGTTATGGAACTTTACATGAACGTCTGTGTGATAAAGTTTTAACCTTATGTATTATGGTTTTTTGGAAGCGGACCTTACAAATAATGGGTTGTTAAGAACCATTACCAACAATCAATACGAAACTAACGATTTTAAATTGGCTCACTACTTGACTAGCCTATTGGTCCCAAGCAAATCGATTAACGTACCCATCCTAGTTGAAATTCTAGTACTACACTATGTTTGTTTTGATTCGATATGAAAGTTTGACAGATAAAATGAGGGGTTAGTGGATTTTCCTATGTTTCGAGGGGTGAATGGATTAGCTTGGGACCGAAGATAGTACCAGACCTGAGCCAAAAAGTTGAGCACGTTTCTTCGGGACCTTCTAGTCTTAGAGTTACCTCTATGCCATTACCATTCCAAATTATTGTTTTCTCCATACATTTTCGGAAAGAGAACTATATTAGAACGTTTTTACTTATGGTTTGAGAACATTAATGGTTATGGTTATGGTAGTCAGTAAGGTCCATTAATGGTTTTGTATTATCACTCAACTTTACGTGAAATATATCGTGAATTGGTAATCAGTAATTTACAGGCAACCAATTCGCGATATATTCCACATAAAGTTGATCGATGTTACAAAACCATTCATGGACCTTACTGGTTACCATAACCATTACCATTAATGTTCTCAAACCATAAGTTAAAAGGTTTTAGTATAGTTTTCTTTGTATGGAGAAAACAAGAATTTTGAATGGTAATGGTTCTTAACAACCCATTATTTGTAAGGTCCACTTGCAAAAAACTATAATACTTAAGGTTAAAACTTTATCATTAAACGTTCATGTAAAGTTCCATAACCATTTCAGTTGAAGTTTAGCAGGGATTATAAACAATTTTAACCATTTTAGGTAAGGTTTATGTTATGGTTCGCGGTTATGCGGGTGTGGATCTTCTCGTCGTTGCTTTGTTCCTCGCTTTCAATGTAAGTAATGTCGATTTTCTAGTTAAACGAAACCTCATTATGGCTTTCAATCCCCTTCCACGAACACTCTATCACCGCTCTTTCAATTTGTTTAAAATGCGTTATGTCCCGTTTTCGTTAATTTTTTTTAGATAAATAGGGGAAATGACGGCTTTGGCATGACAGACTATTTTCGGCAACACAAATTGAAACACTATTTTCAATGGATTTTCTTCCGAAAACACTTCGCTGAATGCATGCAAACGATTCTTTATGCTTTCAGCTTCAATTTGACTATATTTTTACCACTGAGAACAAGTAATCTAGCAAGGTTTTCTTGAAATGCAACACACGCACTACAAATTTTAGCTGATTTCGAGTTGCCGATAATAGAACAGCAGATTTACATGCAGTTCAAATGGAACGGTTGCCGAAGAAAAACTGGTTGCCGACAATACTCGCTCTCACTAGAGAAGATTGGAGCTTTGTAAAAGCGTTTCAAAACAGTTTTTGACAATTCTTTCGACTGAAATTGTTAGAGCAGCTGGCAGCAAAAGATTGTAAACAAACCAATACTGCATATGTGTGCGTTCCTTAGAGAAAAAGGCTATAGAAAGAAGGTCATTGCTTAAGTTGCCGAGAATACGTAAATTCCCCTATGTGGATGGAAGATAAATTAAACATATTACGTGTAATCTTCAAGTGCTTTCACGTGAGAAATGCTTTAAATGTGTAATTTCATTTTCCGTCATATACGTCGTGAAACCTCTGTTGATGTGTTTCATGAAAGAGAAAACTATCAAAGTCGAGCGCTCTTTCGATCATCCGTTTCACCGAAACTTGAAAGGAAGACCAATGGAGCGACGGGAGAAAGAGATACAAGCGATTGAACATTTCAGTACCAACATTTCAAAGGGGCGTAATTGCTTTTGTAAACAATGGCTTTAGCTGTCGATTTCTCGCATCTTAAAGCTCACTCCTTCAAAATAACAATGCTAAATGGTAGAAGAAACATTCCTCTACCTATTGGTGTAATTATTTTTCATGGGTGAGCTTTTACTCGCGAGAAATCGACGGCTAAAGCCATTGTTTACAAATGCAATTACGCCCCTTTGAAATGTTGACACTGATTTGTTTGTGCACGCCGACCTCGACGCCGGCTGAGGTTCTAGAATGCTGCGAAGCTGTTCGAATTTAACAGAAAAAGAAAGCCAGCTGTCTCTTCGTCGCATCGATTTGCTCGATTGAAGCTGATATTGTGACGCCCTGGTCTGAACAAGGCATAATACACTAAAATTAATTCACGTAATAGTAAGTTCAGACTACAGAGTTATAACATGTTATAGCGCTATCTTGATGGTGGTTTCTGTGTTGCAATTATTTGAGTGGTTTCTGTGTTGCAATTATTAGACAACCGTTATAACATGTTATAACTCTCCAGTCTGGACGGCGTTTAAATGCCGGCGCCGGTGGTGTAGTGGTAAGCGTGACTGCTTTCTAACACCCCGATGGGTCTGGGTTCAATCCCAGCCGAGGTCGGTGGGATTTTTCTGAGGCATAAAAATCTCTGGTCACGTCTTCCTTCGGAAGGGAAGTAAAGCCGTTGGTCCCGGTCCGTGTGTGTTGTGAATGGGTGCGATATCCTATGCAGGTGTGGAAGCTGCCTTCCTGCACATTCGATTGCCGTCAATGGATGGCAATCGATGTCCGTCGGTGATTGGCACTAGATTGCGGAACAGAGACCGACGTTAAATAAAGGAAAAAAGAAGTATTCACGTAAATTTGAGAATATGCAATTTACTCAAAAATAACTTATATGCAATTTACTCAAAAATAACTTATTAGGCTGAGGTTGGGTCGAGGGGCCTCAAAGCCTAGTCAGTAAAGGGACTGTATTACCAAACCGGAGGCAGCGGGTTCGATTTCTGGGCCCGGTCGATTGAATCTTCTTTCGGGTTGGAAATTTTCTCGACTTCCCTGGGCATAGAGTATCATTGTGCTTTGCCACACAATATACAAATTCATGCATTGGTATTGGCATCGAAAGCTCTCAATTAATAACTGAGGAAGTGCATTTAGAACACTAAGTTGAGAACACGCAATAAGCTTATATGCACTAAGCAATAAGCTTGAAATGCGAAAAAGAAGAAGATATCGTTGGGTCGAATCTCTCGTTCCTTTTTTGACATCAATAACGAGTGCGAGTGAGAAGCTGACCTCGAAATTAAGTAAAATGAACTCAAATTTTGGGTAGTTTTTTTTTTCTCCGTATGGGTTCAATCCTAGGGATGTTCTGAGGCATAACATCTCTTATCACGCCTTCCTTCGAAAGGGAAGTAAAGCCGTTGGTCTCCGGTTGAAATTGATGGGTCGATAAATAGTTAAGGTACAGGTGTGGGAGCTGCCTGCTTGGCGTCGGTAGCATTGGTGCTCAGCATGGAAAACAAATCAAGGAAAAAAAATAGGATTCATCAAGCGCAAATTAACTGCTCCAGAAAAAAAGTCTCAAAACTGGCAGCAGACGATTTTTTTTTGGTAGCAAATTCAACTATAAATTTCTTTGTCAAATAGGTTTTCGGATACTTAAACTAACGAATCATCTGGAACAGGCATGTCTTACTCTTAAGTATCCCTATATTCACAACTCTACTACGGTAGGCATATCCTCGGGGTCTTCGTCAAATAAACCCTCAAACTTCCACAGCAACGTTCCTCTCACACTCTTCTCCAAAGACTGCGCCACCGATGTAATCCCGACCTGATAACTATTGAGAAGCAGACTCCTTACATCCAAATAAACCGTGTTTGATTCCGTTTGCTCCATCAACTCCACTGGTAGTTCGGGTAGTTGGAACTGAAGAACGGTAAGATAATTTCTGTAGAAATTCCGGTATTTTTCAACAGCTTTCTCCGAGTTACTAAGAAGCAACAACATTTTCCTCCAATGATTTAGGGACTCGATGGAATGTCCGCATAAGAACAGAATGAATGAAAACTGAATCTCTTCGAATATAGCTGCCTCACTGTTTTGAAGCAATTGCTCTACTGCAGCTATCGAATCCATGTGGTGTTGAGATACTTCTGCAGGGGTTGCATCTTTCGGACAGCGTAGAGGAAGTGTTGTAAATCTTGGCGCAGTACCCGGAATAGATTTGAGGTTTGGAAGCAATTCCTCTTCATTCATAAACGATCGTATTTTGGCAAGTCTCGTGGAGTTTGCCGACAATGTTGAATCGCCTCTAGGACGGTCTTTGTCGCTACATGATAGCAGTTCTACTGTATTACGAACCACTCCGCAGTCAGGTGCGAGTCTTCGGACAGTTTCTGCTGTGATATTTCCTGTTAGTTTTTTCCACTTTCCAAGTCCATCGTAATCGAAAGGTGCCAGAAACCTGAATATCAAATGATCTAATAATTCGTATCCTTTCGCATTATTTAATCCACTACGAGCTTACCTATCGAGATTTTTAAGATTCTCCCTAATCCTACCAACTTCGCCAACAACATCGTCATGAATTCTGAGCTTCAGTTCTTCTTTATCATTATCCCACTCTCGGACCACTATTTCACCACGCTTAAAAAAGTGAACAAATCCCACACGAGGTGCAGCATCACCGTACGGTCCTTGTGAGGCACAGTATACGAAATGTACTCCTTCTGGAATCATTTTGACGCCTCGGAAATCTTCTCCAACAAGGAAAGACGATTGATCGATTCCGAACTCGGTCCCCGGCGGAACGCCAGCAATGATGAGTACAGCACCATTTTCAAACAATTTTAATGCCCCCTCCGGAGACATTGTAGCTAATGTGATGCTAGAGGAGCTAGCCATCGTTTTGTACTACAATTATATGTATTAAATATCACGATATTTAGATTTTTTTTAGATCAAACATTTACGTTCCAAATCCAAATGTATTTCGACAGTGAGCATGCATAAGGGCGTATACGCGATGATCGATTCTCTTCTTCTATTTTCTCTTTGCAATGCTGCAGCTAAGCGAAATAATTTTCTAGGATTTTTTTAAACGCAGAGTTATAACAGTTTGTATTGGCTTTCAAAAGCAACATCAAACGCACCGAGAAACGTTAAATCTAGTGAGTTATTTAAAAAAGCTAATCAACGAAGAGAATCGATCATCGCGTTTACGCTCTTATGCATGCTCACTGTCGAATTTATTATGGATCCGTTTGGTTTGACATCAGGGATGCCAGTTGATTTTTATAAAGTGTATGAGTGTCAAAAACTATGTCTGCACGCTAAGAAAAAAGAACCCAAAAGGTGCCGATTCAAATTTCGGACACTTAAACTCGAATTTCGGACACTTTTAAAAGTTGATTATCTCGGTCGAATATGATCCACATGTCTTGTAAATTTTAAATTTTTTTGACTAGTGCCCTTCACGATCATCTAACATTATTACTTTGTTTCTAACTGGATGTAATATTTAATTAAAAATGAAATTTCTTTTCAGATTTTTAAGTGTATACATAGATTTCAGCTTTTCTACCACTATAGCAGAAACCAGATTTAAATAAAATGCTCCATTTACAAAACAGAAGCATTTTAAGATTGTACTCGTATACCTCACCGTGTAAAATTTTGAAACCATCATCACTTTCATAGTTCTTCTATTCTCCACGAGTACCAACTTTGATTTGCCAATTACTATAGGCCTTTTTAATAGAAACTAAACGATCGATTCAACCTCTGGTGGTGAATAGGAGAACGTCAAAAAGAGTGTTGTGAGCATAAATGTTTGCCTTGAGACACAGGAAGCGGAACACTTTTTTACTTTTCCTGATAAATTGTTTCATCTGAGATGCTGCAAAACTTAATCTACAGTTGAAAAATTCAATTCTGTAACGTTTTTGAATAAATCCTGCTGGTGTTCAGGAATATTTTTGTTGAAAATAATAGAAAATTAGAAAAGTGCCTTAGTGGTTATGATCTTCCGGATTTCTTGTGGGTGAATAGTTAAGGTGCAAATCAGTTCAGATTTGTGGAAAATCGTACAATAAGACAATTACCGATGGAAATTGGCAAGATTTTGAATGAAAAATGCTGTTATTTGCACACAAAAAATTATCGTTAATAAAATTAAAAAAACCATAGAATTAAAAGTTTGCGTTGGTTCTTTTTGGTAGAAAGTCTTTTGCATTCAAAACAAAAGTCGGCCAACTGTCAATTCAAAAGTAGCTCATTTTTTAATTTTAAAAGTTGAAACTTTCAAATCGAATTGTAGAACTGTCAATCTAATAGCCTATGGTTTTTAAATATACTCATTAAAGGTTTTAATTTAAAAGATGGGCATTTTTATCGCAATGGTGTACGTTTTCATCTCAAATATTATTTATTGCTTTAGAAAAATGAAACACATACATATTTAATTTAATTCATTTTAGTTTATTAAAATTTTCAATCATCACTGAAAGGCCACTGCATTATGGAATCTTCCATTGGAAGCATTTTACACTAATGGTACAGTTGATATCTGAATAATTATTTCCTGATAGGCTCGGTGTGGGGACGTGCTTGAAAAAAAGTTCCTGCTTAATGGTGATGGTTGATGGGAGTAGCTTTCCTTTCCGGCAAGACTGACGAGGCTGCTGAAGATCAAAACACATCAATTAGTCAAATCGGAAGCAAGATCGAAAGTCTTCAAAAATTTCATCAACTTACCTCCAAATCCGGCAACTGGAGTATCCTTCCACTCGATAGTGTCCCCGCGGGTGCCTCCATATTATTATTCGTATCGTAAAGAAGGGAAACTATCGTGCCGGCGGATGAAATATATGAAAAAATAGAATACACTGCTTCTACTCCTGCAAGTTCTCACAGCTGGTTTTGTTTTATTTTTTATTTCCCATGTCAAATTTAGCGGGAAACGGAGGTCCAGTACTGTCAAAAACTACGCAATGAAGAGGTATTTTGACAGTTTTACAACTTTTATCTTAAAAAAATCACTTTTAAAATTACAAGTCGAAAGTGAAAGAAACATTTTTAAACCAAAAATATAAGTTTAATTTTGAAAACTTTCATAGTTGAAACTAGAGTCGGTGTATAATGAGTCACGCCAAGAGAAAAACAGTTGAACTCGCATCACGGTTTTCGAAAGATTCCCTTTCTTTTCACTTGGCAACAGAGGACTTCTACATCAACTTCAAATGACTTCTAGCGAGAAAAAAATAGCGGCTGTAGTAAATCATTATATCAGTGATTTAGTCAAATTATCTCAACCAAAAATAGTAGAAATTCTCATAAGTGATCATTACCAAACGTATCCCATGACAATTTATTGCTCACTGCGAGTTTATGATCATTTCTTCGATTATATTTTATATTTTATTGCAATACCTTTCGTGGACCTTTCATAGCATCGTAATGTTTGTTTACTCTGCACGATAGGTAGCCGGTTTGACAGCTCAATAGGTAGACTTGGCTTCACTCTTGGCGTGACTCATTATACACCGACTCTAGTTGAAACTACGAATTTTGGGAAACTTTTAATTTGATTATGCATTATTTTTATAGCAACAATTTTTGTTCTTTGTGTGTGCGTTGGAGAAAATACTTATTCTGATGTAAACAAACGGTTTGGTTGACGTTTCTTCTCGAACTCGCGTGGCGCACTCTACATTGGTGGTGCATTAAAAAGGCGTATATTGATGGTTTAAATAACAAACGAAGTGACAGACGACTAACTGGCGAAGAAATCAATTAAAATAATGCGGTTCGCTGTAATAGAATTTTCTTAGAAGCTTGTGCCATCATCTACCAGATGGGATACTATTTTTGTTTTGGTTTTGCTCAAAGTTGATTTTGTGTACAATGATTCTTTGACAGTGTGCAAAGAGTGCGTATCATTTTGTCATTTTTTTATGCATTTCAGTTTTGAGTAGAGTGAAAGAGATAGTATTTTGCTACTACTGGATTGAACTAGCATTTTCACTAAATGTACTAGAATATTTTGGTTCTATCTCTTTCACTCTACTCAAAACTGAAATGCATAAAAAAATGACAAAATGATACGCACTCTTTGCACACTGTCAAAGAATCATTGTACACAAAATCAACTTTGTTCAAATCAAAACAAAAAAACTAACCCATCTGGTGGATGATGGCACAAGCTTCCAAGAAAATTCAGTGCCAACATTTCAAAGGGGCGTAATTGCTTTTGTAAACAAAGGCTTTAGCCGTCGATTTCTCGCAAATAAAAGCTCACTCCTCCAAATTAACAATGCTAGCTGGAAGAGGAAACATTCCTCTACCTGTTGGTGCAATCAATTTTCATGAGTAAGCTTTTATTTGCGAGAAATCAACGGCTAAAGCCATTGTTTACAAATGCAATTACGCCCCTTTGAAATGTTGGCACTGAATTCTATTACAGTGAACCACATTATTTTAATGGATTTCTTCGCCAGTAAGGCTGTGAACCATTTGCTGAGTTAAATTTAACTCGTGGTTAAAAGTGACATTTCGAAAGTTATTTTCTATGTTCGAAAATCCCCGTGCTGTCGATCGACCGGTTTTCGAGCTACGGTCGTCAAAATTTAACTTCTTGTCTGTCAGAAATAACCACGCTCGGATAGCAGGGTTAATCGATAACTTTCCATCTGTCAAATTTTAACCAAAAGTTAAAATAATCCACCAAATGGTTCAGAGCCTAAGTCGTCTGTCACTTCGTTTGTGGTAGTAGTGTTGCCATGTGGTACAATCCAGTAGTAGTGGTGTTGCCATGTGGTACACTGAAAAATTGCAATACACGCTAACTTGAAAGTACCCATTAATAAGTAAAAAAAAGACCCATTTTTAAGAAAAGTGGCTTAACTCATTAAATGAGTAAAACCGAGTTTACTCATTAATGAGTATTCGACGAATACTTCAAAAAATGGGTATTTTGTTTTTTCTGCCCATGGGTAAAAAGTACTCTTTTTTAATGTTTGCTTCATGGAGCTGCCTGTTATTAAACTTTTAACATGTTAAACTAATGAAAAAGCTAAAATTGTAAAAAAAATTCATAATTTTTATTGAACCAGAATTAATATTAAACGGATCAAAATATGTATTGATGAACATTTATCTATTTCTTATACATTCATTGACCAAACGAGGCATTAAGTAGTGCTTCCGTAAGATCGTTTTTCTCATATGATCACTGCAGGAATCAATCCGATGATGGATGCTGCTTATCGAAAACGTTCAGATAATTGAGCATGTCGTTTTCCTTCTCGAAGATCTCCGCTAATCTGGAACAGGAACACTTGTTAGAATTTTAGCATGGTTTCATGTCTTTTCCTTACCTCGTAACAATTAATTATATGATTTGAGTAGTAGCTATACTGAAGATCCGAGAGATGGCGCCCCATTTAGTGGTAGGAAAATCATTTTTGCAGTATGGAGAATATCAGAAAATCCACGATTTGTGACTAAATCAAGAGCAAATTTTCATTACGTCGAATGTAACAAAGGTAAACAAAGCCGAGCTATCAGTGTCAATCGATTCTCCTGCTATTACACTATATACTGTCCGAATATAGGATCAAATCCCATTTTTAAATTTATTTACCAGTCAAATTGCTTTTTGACGTAATCACCTTCCGATCAAAATAGTTTTCGATGTTACTTAAGTCACCCAATTTCTATGGAGATGCCGTTTGACTTAAGTAACAGCGCTGAGAAACCCGTGAAAAGTGTACGTTCGTCGTTTCGCTTTCTCATTATTAAAGTGAAAAAATCGATCTGTTTGTTGCTAAGATGATTTCGGTGGTCCTAAAATGATGAATGGGCTGCACGTAAGGAGACGTAATTGATAATTCTCCCGAATATCCTGGTAAATACACTTTGACTTAAGTAACAATAGGGGCCACCAAACGACGTATAATCACTTTTGACTCAAAAACCAGTATTTTTTAGCATGAAAGCTAGCGATTTGCATTTGTATGATTAAAACCCTGCTAAATATGTTAAACATTGCTATCACTATGAGATTATATGTGTTTACTTGAAAATAGGAATAACTTTTCGGTCATCAAAACAAAACTTTATTTTTCTCGGATTGGTGCGGATGTTACTTACGACATAATGAAAATTTGCTCTTGAAATATGCTTTCACAGAAGGAAACAAATAAACGAGTGTTTACCTTATCACCATAGTAATGTATTCGTGCAATTTTCATGCATCAAAAACTGCCCATAAAGACGATAATGTATAAAAACTGAAAATTTTCATGCATTTCCAAATGGTTTCCTACCATTCCCATATATTCGAAAGTGACTGGCCCTCTGGATGTGGATGATGTCAACGACAACAAAACATGATTAATTGGAACTGCCGTCCAAAGCACTATTTTACTGTGCTCGTTTTTAGCCTTAACGAACATCGGCCGAAAGGAATTCACTGGCTCAATCACATCTACGTTGTGTGATCTTATAATAACAGCACTAGTCCGAGCATTTTTACCGAGAATTTCGACCGATTTGCAAGAATGACAAGACATTTCACAATCTGAATACTCCGTGCTTTTAGTTTTCAGTTTATCAGACTGTTGACAATGATTATTATTATTACTCATTTTTTCTGCCTTAAGATATTTTCAAAAATGAAGAAAAAATACCCTTTTTAATCTTTATGAAAATACCCATTTTTTGACATATAAGAACAAATATAAAAAATGAGTACAAGATACTCATTAAATGTGAACTTTCGAGTAAGCGTGTGCTATTGCAATTTTTCTGTGTACCACATGGCAACACCACTACTACCATAGAGGTAACTCTAAGACCACTGGGTCCCGAAGAAAATCATTATTATTTTTGGCTCACTCAGTACCAGAACAACGGTCCCAAGCAGTCCCAAGCTATTTCACTCACCCCTGCATGTTCTGCATGAATCCACACACCCCTGATGTTATCTGTCAAACTTTCATAGCGAATCAAAACAAACATAGTGTAGTAATAGAATTTCAACTAGAATAGGGTACGTTAATCGTTTGCTTGGGACCAATAGGCTACTAAAGTGGTGAGCCAATTTAAAATCGTTAGTTTCGTATTGATTTTTGCTACTACTGGATTGTACCACATGGCAACACTTTCTACCGGATTGAACTAGCATTTTCACCAAATGTACTAGAATGTTTTGGTTCTATCTCTTTCACTCTACTCAAAACTGAAATGCATAAAAAAAATGACAAAATGATACGCACTCTTTGCACCACAAACGAAGTGACAGACGGAGCGGCTCGAAAACTTTGGTGACGCACCTGCTATTGCAATTTTTCAGTGTACCACATGGCAACACCACTACTACTGGCTTGTACCACATGGCAACACTACTAATGGATTGAACCACATGGCAACACTAAATGTACTAGAATGTTTTGGTTCTATCATAGAGGTAACTCTAAGACTAGTAGGTCCCGAAGAAAATCATTATTATTTTTGGCTCACTCAGTACCAGAACAACGGTCCCAAGCAGTCCCAAGCTATTTCACTCACCCCTGCATGTTCTGCATGAATCCACACACCCCTGATGTTATCTGTCAAACTTTCATAGCGAATCAAAACAAACATAGTGTAGTAATAGAATTTCAACTAGAATAGGGTACGTTAATCGTTTGCTTGGGACCAATAGGCTACTAAAGTGGTGAGCCAATTTAAAATCGTTAGTTTCGTATTGATTGTTGGTTCTATCTCTTTCACTTTACTCTAAACTTAAATGCATAAAAAAATGACAAAATGATACACTCTTTGCACAAAGATCATATTGCATACAAAATCAACTATGTTCAAATCAAAACAAAAATACTAGCCCATCTGGTGGCTGATGGCACAAGCTTATAAGAAAATTCTATTACAGTGAACCACATTATTTTAATTGATTTCTTCGCCAGTTAGTCGTCTGTCACTTCGTTTGTGCTTTGCACACTGTCAAAGAATCATTGTACACAAAATCAACTTTGTGCAAAACCAAAACAAAAATACTATCCCATCTGGTGGATGATGGCAGAAGCTTCTAAGAAAATTCTATTACAGCGAACCACATTATTTTAATTAATTTCTTCGCCAGTTAGTCGTCTGTCACTTCGTTTGTGGTATTAATATTTCAAATGTGTTTCAATACACGAAGGATTTTTGCAATGAACTAAGCTTTATTTTTTTAATTACAGGCAAAGGGAGATAGAAGAAATGTCATCGCATTAAAAATTAAACATTTTTTGTATCATTGATTAATAATATGATTTATTCACTACGTTTGGAGATATAACATTGCTATACTTTTTGATATAATATTGTATAAATGTAAATATTTCCTACTAGTCTCATTTGCCGCTAAAGGTGAATTATTGTTAAGTTGGGTATTAAGTGTATTCGAGGACATTTTAAACATTCAGAATTCACAGCTGTTTGTAGGACAATTCGGATTTGTAGTTATAGATGCCTGGAAAAAGTGCTTAAGTGTTCAATATTTTATTTATGATGTATGTGAGGTCTAATGACGATAAAGCATGCCTAGAAAGTACCTTTACTGTAATAAACAAGTCAAAACTTATTATTGTTTCCCTGTTTCTTTTCATTCGTTCCTTCTATCTATAAGTTACACTTATTCAGCTTGCTTGATCCTTATTCTGATAGATTTGCAATATTTATTGTATTGATTTTAGCAGAATATTTCAAATAAAAGTGATTTATTTCTATTCACATGGTTCACATTGTACAATTATTGAAACTGTGTTCAAAATATAAAAACAAAATACTGCGTATATTCGTTTCCAGCGTGCCGTTCAGTGGTAACAGCTAATGGTGTAATGCTTTGTGTTACTTTTTGTTTCATGCTGCATTGGCTAGATACATCCGTGATTATCAATCCGAACATTTGTTCCATTGAGTATTGATGTACAATCCAGCGAATTCAATTCTTTCACTCTAGCTTACCTTCAAAATGCTGTTTCCTTGGGACCTATTCCAAGGCTGGTAACAAATTCACGTGTTTGAGTATCTAAATATATTGCATTCTAATGATTATAATGTGGGAATCGTTGTGAAATCTGTAGAAAAAAAAAATGATTTGAATATCGTTACGGCACAAACGAAGTGACAGACGGTTAGCTGGCGAAGAAATCAATTAAAATAATGTGGTTCGCTGTAATAGAATTTTCTTAGAAGCTTGTGCCATCATCCACCAGATGGGATAGTATTTTTGTTTTGGTTTTGCTCAAAGTTGATTTTGTGTACAATGATTCTTTGACAGTGTGCAAATCACAAACGAAGTGACAGACGGAGCGGCTCGAAAACTTTGGTGACTAACCTTCTATTGCAATTTTTCAGTGTACCACATGGCAACACCACTACTACTGGATTGTACCACATGGCAACACTACTATTGGATTGAACTAGCATTTTCACCAAATGTACTAGAATATTTTGGTCTATCTCTTTCACTCTACTCAAAACTTAAATGCATAAAAAAATGACAAAATGATACGCACTCTTTGCACACTGTCAAAGAATCATTGTACACAAAATCAACTTTGTTCAAATCAAAACAAAAAAACTAACCCATCTGGTGGATGATGGCACAAGCTTCTAAGAAAATTCTATTACAGCGAACCACATTACTTTAATTGATTTCTTCGCCAGTTAGTCGTCTGTCACTTCGTTTGTGCTTCTAGTCTTATAGCGAATTCGTTTATTATCGGGGTTGGAACCAGTTCCAACCCAGTGCGAAACCGAACTTTTTGTCAGTGCGAACCTCAACCTGAGCTGGGTTTTAAAAACAAACGATCAAACTGACGTTTTTCAGAAAACAAGCAGTCCCAATCTTGATACCCGATCCAGGTTGGAACTGAATAATAAACGAATTCGCTATTAGAGTTACCTCTATGGTAGGGCTATGATGTAAAATAATTACCTTATCCATATGTTTTCCCAAAGCTGATCGTGCAGCTTTCATCAGTTCAGGGTTCTCGGCTAGCGTGTCAGCTAGAGCTGCAAGAAGCACATCTGTAATGTAAGTCCGGTTTGTTAGAATCTATGTGGATATAAACTTATCCCTTGATGACATACCGAGGATCTTCTTTTGTAGAATGGGTGAAATTCGTCCATGACTGCCTTCTGATTCCAGGAATTCTGTAAGCTTCTGCAACGCATGTTGTGCCGGTTCCGAGCCACGCGTCAATGATTGTGTGAACATAACCTTCGCCAGTTGATAGATAACTTCTTCCAGCGAGTATTCAGCGTACAGAAAATCAGCCAACCTTAATCGTCCTACCACGTCATCGTAATCCTGTGTGGAGTCTGCAGAGATATGCAACATTTTGATTTAGAATAAGTTAGATCTTAGGCATCATAAATAATTTTTTACCAGTCTGTTCACTGATATCATTCAGCTTTAGTAGACTTGGTAACCGTTCGATGACCTTCAAGATTTCAGGAGCCAGTGTTGCTGGTTGACCAACCCCACTGTTGGCCACCACTGATTCTGTATGCATAGCAACTGTGGTTGGCACTTCAGTGACGGTCGTTCCCGTAGTACTGACGTCAATTCCACGTTCAGTATTCGAATGTGGATCTGCTGATTTTAGAGGGCGGCTTGAATATGTATTCTGAAGATAATCAATTCCCAGACGAATGTCACGCAAAAATTTTATGGCATTCTCTCGGGTCATCTGCAATTGGAAAAAGGCTTTAACTGTAAACTAGCTGAATTAAGAAATTAACGGAAACATACCAGTCCCTTTTGGATTAATTCTTCGACTGCCCGAGCTACACCGGCTTCATCTCCTGTCCAGAAAACATATTGGGCCATGTCGAACGCTGAATACTGGCCACCACTGTGTCGTAACAATACCTCAGCATGCTAAATGAAAATAATTTTATTGATCAGTAAATGCGTAAAATTTGTGAATAGGTGAATGCAATATGTAGGAAATTTGAATAAAATACAAAATTCAAGCAAGTTATCCCGAATCAATATTCTGGCTTAAAACCTTCATGAGATTATATTCTAGCCGCAGCGAGAATCGCAGTGCATTTGAATAAACAAACTTTGTTCAAAAACATAACTAACATAACAATTACAAAATTGTATAAAATACTTTTCGTCGATCCATATTAAAGAATCTGTTCATGAGGTGAAACATTTAAAATTCTGTATACTTTTAATGCAAATCTGTCATATTGGCTTTATCACACCCCCACTGGGACTTACGCCAGCTCTCAAATCAACTTAGCACTTCCACAGTTGTTAGTTGAGAGAAAGCTGTATAATTTTTGTAAAAGTAGACATATATAATGCCGGATAAATCGAAAAAAATTCCAACCCGAAAAATTCCTACACGAAACAAAAATTAAATTTTTTTTTTCATGGGTTTCAATCATACATTTTTGCCAAAACATTAGCCTTATACCGAAGACAACATATCAAGAAGACTGGCAACTTTTCCATTTTCTCAAACGAACGGTATGAGACAGGCACAATCACGTCATCTACCGCTCAAAGGTAAATACTTCGAACGGATTGGATAGCAAAGGTTCCATCCTCAGAAGAAAGGTTTGTGTATTTGCTCATTTTTCTATGCGTTGCTTCCACCTTCGCTGTTGCCTTCGCTTATACCACAAACTGACAGACGACTAACTGGCGAAGAAATCAATTAAAATAATGTGGTTCGCTGTAATAGAATTTTCTTAGTATGTACGATTACCCCGAATACAACGTATGACTTGTCTAATTTTGCATAGCATTTGCAATGTAAAATTACACGAACTATTCATTGTTTCTAAGAAAATTCTATTACAGCGAACCACATTATTTTAATTGATTTCTTGGCCAGTTAGTCGTGTGCCACTTCGTTTGTGATACGATGATACGCTAAAAGGCTTATTCAGCTATAATTTTTGTTGGGAATAGACCTTTTCATCGAATTTTACTTACATCTCCTCGTCGCTGGCCGTTATTGGTATGGGAAGCGCCATCCTGCTCATGATTGGGGATTTCTTCAGGTTGTGAGGGTGGTGTAGCTTTAGGAACAGTGGGGGTTGTCGTGATCTCTGAACCATAATGTTGACCAAAGGTAAGCCGTGCGGCTCCGGGTAATAACTATTTCAATAAATTAAGAAATATTTAATGTTTTTAGTTTCACAAGTGACTACTATAATTATATACACTATTTAAATCAATACTTAAATCACAAACGAAGTAGAATGATTGATGTGCATCCTCATGGATGTAATATTAAAATTTATTTTTTGCTGTGTTCATGATTTAAAGTTCACATGTTCTATAACAAAACATTTTGCAATCGTGTTGCAGTGCTTATTTGTCCAGTTTAGTGTGAAATGCGCAATAAATCTTATGAGTGATTAAACGTCTAAACGAGAACTATTTCTTTGATTATTTTTCAATTCCATGTGTGAACCCAAGAAGGCTCTGCCCATAGAGGCAACTCTAAGACTAGTAGGTCCGGAAGAAACGTGCTCAACTTTTTGGCTCAGCTCTGGTACTATCTTCGGTCCCAAGCTAATCGATGCACCCCTCGAAACCTGGGAAAATCAACGAACCCCTCATTTTATCTGTCAAACTTTCATAGAGAATCAAAACAAACATAGTTTAGTACTAGAATTTTGACTAGAATGAGATACGTTAATCGTTTGTTTGGGACCAATAGGCTAGTCAAGTTGTGAGCCAATTTCAAATCGATAGTTTCGTATTGATTGTTGCTCTGCCAGTGCATGGTTCGTTTTGTTTGCACTGTCATAATTTTTCTCCTGTTTTCCGCGTGTAAAAGAATTAAAATAAGCTTTGTTACCACGGAACTTTAGTCTTTGGCCAAACCAGGGTTGCTTCCACTCACTTGCTATAAAAAAATTGTTTTTCGGAATTATGACATCATTAGATGTTATAATGGTTATTAGTACTTGAAATTTAAAATAAGGGGTCGTGAAGTATGTATTTGACACATAAAACCGGTCAATATTGCTTTCAGTGCGCCACAATCAGCGCTTTTACGATTCGTGAGCGCTCACCCTGAGTGAACGCTCACGAATCATAATATCTGTGATGATGACGCTCTGAAAGCAAAATTGACTGGTTTTATGAGTCAAACACACACTTTTCACCCTCTTCTTGTTACTTGCAAGCACAACATATCATTTTATCATCTAATGATTTCATTATTCCGAAAAAAAACAATTTTTTATAGCAAGTGAGTGGAAGCAACCCTGGGCCAAACCTACGAGAAAAAGCAGAATTTATTTTCTGGTATTAATAGTAGGTAGTAAGAACTAGAGTAGAATTAACACAGAGATGTACCGTTTTTTGCGGATGGAGGTTTAGTTGGTATTCTTTTTTCTGGATTCCTTGATAACTGGTTTTGGTACTTGTTGGCCTATCCCATTAGGCCAGCGCGCTCACCTTCAACGTCGGCATACATTGCGAACCGACAGCATCGAACGCCGCCCGGTGGCCGCTCCGAAAACGACAGAGTGACAGGTTTGGAGTACTGTCACCATTGGTGAGTAGAGAATAAGACAAAGCCAAAACAAAAGGTAGTCATAGAAAGGTTGATAGTCAAACGTCTATAACATTCAGCTTAATCTAATTAAATACTACATATAAATAATTAAACTAGTGCCTAATATCTATAGCGGCTGGTAAGTCTAATTGTTCTTAATCTAAGTTGTGAACTAAACAAAGTTTCTTAAAATTAGGGATTTGATACGTGTTGCTTGCTGGTGAATTTGTGCTACGGCTCGAACAATTGAACTAGCCGTTCACACTAATCGAGTCAGTACGGTTTTACTGAGTTTTTGAATTGCGGAACTGTTCGGTAAAAGTTTAAAAATCTGTGGAAAATTTATTAATAAGAAAATTTGTTCTGAACTTGTGTATACTTAGTTATGTTAACCCCATTTAATGATAAAAAATAAAATTGGTCGATTTCATTGATTCCTTACGGATAACGGTCATTTGAATTTTTACCGACTTTTTCAGCAATTCAAAAACCCAGTAAAAAAATACTGACTCCTGTAAAAAAATCTTAGTGTGTTGATACTGGTAAGGAAAATTGAAAAAAAGGAACATGAAACAATACACATTCTTAACCTAACTTAATTTACTTAGGACCTACCTCTAGTAAACTACATGCTAGACTAAAACTAGATCCTGGACTAAAAAGGGATACTAAACGTAAGTAAATATGATCTAAACTTACATCTAGGGCCTAAACAACTGAGAACAATGAATGCGTTGTAAAATGAAAAATGTTACGCAAACTTACATCTATCTTACAATCTAAATAATGTGGAACAAACTTACATATATCTTACGTTCTAATGAATGTAAAGAAAACTAAGTTCCTTTGCTAAGCCAATTTATCTTAATATTTAAACTAATATGTACTTAAATTGTCATTTGACAGGAAAATTATATTCTCGTTCACTCTACAACAATCGGATCGTGCGTTTCATTTCGTTTCCGGCCGAGAATTATAATTTTGGAAATCCCCTTTCGTTGAATTAAAATTCAATATAATATAATTTTCGTTTATATACCGAAACAGTCAACCCGCGAGCATGTCGAGTCGAGGTTCAAAGTCCGATAAGCAAAGTAGCAAGGGTGAGGCACCCAAACCGAAAGAAAGTGATGTGGTTAAAGATGGTGAAAAGAACGGTGATGATGATGGTAGTGATGATGTGGTACTGGTGGATGAGGTGGAGAAAACTGTCGATGGACAAACCTGTAGGGGCTGTGGAGGACCTGACACTGATGACATGGTTCAATGTGATGAGTGCGACGGATGGCATCACTACGACTACGTTGGAGTAACGGATGAAGTTGTCAACCAGAGCTGGAGTTGCACCAACTGCAAGACCGCAAAATGGATCCAGCGAACTACGCCGACTTCGAAGAAACAATCAACACAGAAAGATGCCAGGAAGGAGCTCACACCCAAACGTACTTTGTCGGTCAAGGAAGTCTCAGAAACGACGCTTGTTCGCGATGGCAAATCTAAGAAGTCCACTCATTCCTAGCCGCTACTACCGTCGGAGAAGCAGAAGAAACCAGAAGCCGTGGAACGAAAGGAGAAATTGTTCGTACCGTCATTGGAAGGTCTCCCTGAAATCCAGCTAATCAAGGCGTTTTCGGAAGTTTCTTGTACGTCATCGCAGAGATCTGGGCGAAATCGTGCCAAGTTACAGTTGTTGAGGCTGCATGAGGAAAAGGAATTCGAAGAACGGCAAGCACAACGACGCAAGCAGGAAGAGCAGGAGGAAGCGGAGCGTCGACAGTTAGCAGAAGAGAAAGAAGCAGAACGTCGACGGGTGGCTGAACATGAAGAAGCAGAAAAACACCGAGCATACCTAGCCAAGAAGTACAAGATTTTGGAGGACCTGGCTAGTGAAAATGGATCAAGTCGTAGTTCTGGTTCTATAATCTCACGAAGCCGGGTGGATGAATGGGTCGAAACGACCAATTGTGTACAATCGGAGATTGCTAGGTGTACACCCGATCCCGCCCATCAAGATCGAGCTTTGCACGAGCAAAAACAGCACGAAAAGTTACTTCATAATCACCATCAGCAGCAGCAACAGCAACAACGAATGCAAGAGGAGCAGTTACAGCGGCAACGAAGGGAGGCGTTTCGGCAGTATCAACAGCGGCAACGTGAAGAACAGCTGCAACAGGAGAAACGCGTGCAAGAGCAACAACAGCAGTTGCATCAAGAAGAAGAACGCGTCAACCAATTGTTGGAGCAACAGTTGGAACAGGAAATACGTCTGCAGGAACGACAAGCGAATCGTATTCCATCTTGTAATCTGGAACCTTCCAGGCATATTCCAGAGCTGCAGCCCAAATCTCAACCAGCAAAACGTGGATCGCATAACCCTTATCGGGACTTGGTGCATGGGCATTCCGGACACTTCAGTCCAGATACTCTGCCTCAGTCAACACAAGTGCAAATCGACCACCCGAGCAGGCCGGCTGTTGATGCAAATCGATCGACCCACGCTGTATCTCGTGTCACACGTGCCCCAAGATCTTCGGCAAGCCCCACGCCAATGGATGACTACGATCAGTTCCAGCTTTCACGCTCACAAATTGCGGCACGGCAAGCTGTTTCGAAGGACTTGCCTACGTTTTCCGGCAATCCAGAAGAATGGCCGATCTTCTTATCCATGTTCAATAGCACGACAGCTATGTGTGGATTCTCGGAAGAGGAGAACCTGGTGCGACTGCAAAGGAGCTTGAAGGGGAAAGCTTACGAGGCCGTCAAGTGCAGACTGATGCATCCCGGTAACGTACAAAGAATTATGGATACGTTGCGGATGTTGTACGGTCAACCAGAAGTCATTGTTCACTCGCTGATTGGGAAGATAAGCTCACTACCAGCTATTCGAGAGGATCGACTGGAAACGTTGGTGGTTTCGCAGTGAGCGTACAGAACTTTTGCGCTACAGTTGAGTCATGTGGTTTGGAGGAGTATATGTACAACATCACTCTGTTGCACCAGCTTGTCAGCAAACTACCACCAACAAACAAGCTCAGTTGGGCTCAACATCGGAAGACGCACCTGACAGTCAACTTAGCGATCTTCGGCGAATGGGTTTACACTCTAGCGGAAGCAGCAAGTTCGGTAACGTTTCCTACCGTATCGCTGGAAGCAAAACCTGGCCACAGCGATATTCGTCGGAGCAAAAAAGGAGACAGTTATCTTAACGCACACTCTGAGTCTACGGTTCCTCACAACCCGAAACCCAATACGTCCACAAAAGCGGCAGTAGATCTTCCACCAACACCCACCAAGGAGACGTGTTTAGTATGCAAAGGGAGCTGCAAATCTGCGGACAAGTGCAAGCAATTTGGAGAGTTGTCCAGGGATTCCAGGTGGGCCGTAGTCAGGGAGTTTGGACTCTGCCGCACATGCCTTCGCCAACACAAGGGAAACTGCAAGGCCAAACCTTGCGGCAAAGACGGATGCACATATAGGCATCACGAACTGCTACACAACGACCAGAACAGGAAAACTGAAAACAGCAACACTCCGAGCGGAAGCCACCAATCGTCTCAACCTGAAGCTAGTAGCTCCGGATATCGTTGCAATACACATCAGACAACATCAAGCTCTGTGCTGTTCCGCTACCTCCCGGTAGTGCTTTCAGGATTAGGGAAGGAGGTACACACCTATGCCTTTCTGGACGAAGGTTCTGCGCTGACACTGCTCGATCAAGAACTGGCCGATGAGCTCAACTTAAGTGGAACTTCGAGTCCACTCTGCCTACGATGGACTGGGGGAACTCAACGCCACGAGAAGAATTCTCGTATTGTCAAGCTTCACATTGCTGCAAGACATCACGAAGCCAGGAAGTTCCAGCTAGACGATGTGCGAACAGTTAACGAATTAATGCTGCCACAACAAACTCTAGACTTCAATGAGCTAGTACGTCTGTATCCTCACCTTGAGGGGCTGCCCGTTGAGTCATATCACGACGCTCGTCCACGCATCCTGATAGGAATGAAGCATGCTCAACTGGGACTGACGCTGAAGAGCCGTGAAGGAGAACTAGGTCAACCGATTGCGATGAAGACCCGACTGGGATGGACGATATGTGGAG